CTGCGCCCCGCCTCCCCGCTGCGCCCCTCCGGCCCCTCCTCCTGTTCATCATACTCCTCCTCCTCCTCCTCCCCCTCCTCCCGCTTCAGCCCAGCCGCCACAGCGCCGCTGGCCGCCGCCTCCTGCCCCTCGCCGCTGCCGCCCTGGCTCCTGCTGCGCTGGCTGGGCTCCCCGCTGGCCTCCTCCTTCTGAGCGTTCTCCACCATCGCCACAAATGCCTGCGCCGACTGCAGCTGCTGGGGTATGGACAGGTAGGCCTGCTGCCTGCGGAACAGCGCCTCGCATGCCTCGCCCTGCCGGCCGCCGCCCACCGTCTGGGCCACCTGCAACAGGGGGAAGGGGAGGGCAGAGGGGCAAGGGGGCAGGGGAGCAGGTGAAGGGACCGGTGAAAGGGGCAGGCAGTACCACACAGCCCATCTTGTGTCCAGACCAGAACAGCAGCGATGCGGTACGGAGTGCACAGCTGTCGGGATGGCAGGCCGGGCACAGGCGGACCCAGCGGGATGCGCTTGCTGCTGTTCGGCACAGGCAGTGGGTGCCTCAAGGGGCCAACAATCGTTCTTTGCAGGCCACAGCAGGTGAAGGCTGCTGCGCCCACCTGGGCCCAGTCCTGGCCGTGTTCGTGGAAGGCGGCAAAGAAGCGCGCCGCCTCATCGGGCGCCCACGCTGCCGGGCCCCTGCGCGTCATGGCCGCGCCCCGGCCGCTGGGCGTTGACGCTGCACTGCCCCTGCTTAGTAGGGCTGTTCCAAGGCCTGCAGGGCAGGCAACGCACACAGCGTGGCAGCAGGAGGCGTGTCAGGCCATGCGGGGTACGCAGGCACTCTTGACAGGCGGCACCAGGCGGGAGCCAGAGGCTAGGTGGGCAGAAGGCGCTGCGCCTCGGCGACCCGGCCCATCGCAGCCCGCACTAGCTGCTGGGACGGTGGGGCGAGGGCGCGGGAAGGCGGAGAGCGAGAGCCAGCACGGCGGATTGCGGTGCCCAAGCCACTGGAGCCCCCGACCCCCTCAGCAGCCCTACCAATACTCTCAGCGACGGGCGGCAACACAGGGGCCCGGCGCCGGCCAGCATCCTCGGGCCTAGGGTGCAGGGGCCTGACCTCACGCACACCGCCCGTGGGGGCGGAGCCCAGTCACGCAGGATTGACGCACCCGATCCCTGGAGCTGGGCGGAAGGCTGGTGCCGGGTGGCAGGCTCTGGAGATGCTGCTGGGGATGGCGGGCGGGAGAGGCAGCAGGGGCTGATGGCAGGCTGCCGCAGGGATGGTTGGACCGCCCAGATGGCTGGGGTCTCAAGGTTAAGGAGCTGCGCCTCTGATCTAGGCTGCTATTTCACAGTTCGCATGGGCCTGCTGTGCTTCGCTCGAGGCCAACCCCGCCGCAATTTGGCCTTGCCCTGCTGTGTTCTGGCGTTGCCAAGCCTATCTTCTGGCGTTGCCAAGCCTGGGGAGAGCTGCTTCGGCGTCCACCCTCGCTGGCCAATAAAAGTGGCCGCTTCAAGCAGCAACCTCGAGTTCCGGCCCCAAAGCAGCCGGCTTGCATGTGCTGACGGCCCTGTCAGCCACCGCCCGGGCCCCGACCGCCACCCAGCCGCAGTCCATGCAGAGCCCAGAAGTTCAGGCTGAGCGCTGCCAGTAGGCGGCCCCTGCGGCAACCTGCATCGTTATCCAGCACCAGACCGCCGGCCCAGCCGCGGCCACCGGTCATCCCCGGTTGTGCTCGCCCCGCCGCTGCCCCAACACCCTACGCCGCCATGCCGCACCGTGTGGGCGGCCCCGTGCCCACGGTCTCGAGGTCTGGCCGCGAGAACCAAAAGTATGGCGAGGACGGCGAGCGCCTGGTGGCCGGGTAAGCCTGGGCACTTGGCATGGCTTTCTGCGGCTGCCCGTGGCCTGCCGCAGCTGGTGGTGTGGGTATGGTAGTGGCTGACCATGCCCGCCCCCGCCCCTCCGCTCCCGCAGCTCCATCCCCGTGCGCTTCACGGCGGGCGTGGAGGGGCCCGAGGGCGTGGAGGTGCTGCTGATCACCAGCCGGCGCGGCAAGGGGCACGTGTTCCCCAAGGGCGGGTGGGAGTGCGATGAGGAGCTGCGCGACGCGGCGGCGCGCGAGACGGTGGAGGAGGCAGGCGTGCGGGGCGAGCTGGAGGTGAGGCTGCCGCGCAGGCAGCAGGCGGCAGCCTGGCCATGCAGCACCGGCCCCCAGGCTTGCTGCGTGAGAGCTGCCTTGCACGGCATGCCCACCACAGCATGCCCCCCTCCTGGCTTGCACAGGAGCCCATCATCGGCAAGTTCCCCTACTCCGGCAAGGCCGAGCGGCAGCAGGCGGGGCGCTGCGTGGCTTACCTCTTTGCCATGCACGTCTCTGAGCTGCTGCCCGAGTGGCCAGAGGCCAACCAGCGCAAGCGCGAGTGGGTGAGTGAGCCAAGGCGGGGCGTGAGTTGCCAGAGGGCCTAAACGGGCCTGCCATCTGGTTCTGGCTGGCCAAGCAGCATGCTAACTTGGCGCCCGCCGCACCGCACCCCCTACCCCGCTGCAGTTCTCGCTCCAGGAGGCGTGCCGGCGGTGTCGGTACGAGTGGATGCGTGAGGCGCTGCTGACCTGGATGCGGCGCAGGGGCTGGGAGGCCGCCGCCGCGGCATGTCAGCAGCAGTGTTGCGAGGAGCAGGCGGCAACCTGTGCGGCAGTCATGGCCACCGGCCAGGTGCCTGAGGTGGCTGTGCCGCAGGCGTATGAGCGCATCGCCGTAAGGACTTGAAACCAGCGCCGCAAGCCGGACCTGGGCGTGATCGTGACGAGGCCTGGCTCCTGCGTCTGCTCCAGTCCCGCCGCTTCCGGCCTGCGATGATCGCTCTGGCAGGCGCAGCGGCTTGCCACGCGTGCGTGGGTGCTCTGTGACGCCCCGCTGATTTCAGCCCAGGCTGCCTTTGGGTTTGGCCCCAGCCGAAGGTTGATTTCCGCACTGTTTCCCCGGCGCGCCAATGTGCGCCTGTATCCCATTTGTTTACGCTCCCTTTGCTACTGTTGATCTTTGTACCCTCCTTTGCAGCACTTGTTTTTCATCACGCTGTACGCTATCCCAACCTACCACACGCCACTCGCCCCCGCCCTCGCCTGTGTCCCTCTCAGCAGCTCCGCAGCTGCCTCTCAATTCACACCTGCTAACTTGCTACACATTGCGCCTGTTTGTCGTATGCTTCCTGGCTGCCAGCCCGCTGTGACAGTGTGTTTTTGCACTTCGGGCGCTTCCACCAAACCTGCTCCTGTGAGAGATGAGCAACCAGTTCTGAGGTTTCAGCGCTGGCGGCAGAATGGCTCACAGCTGTGGTGTGGCTACAAGTGGTGGTGGTGGTGGAGGTGCGAGTGAGTGGGCGAGAGGCGGGGTGCAGAGGCTGGCGCCTTCTCCTGGCCATTGCCGGCCCCAAGCGCAGCGCCGCCTGCCTCCCCCTCGCCTTCCTCTATCGCCAGCGGCAGCACCTCAAACACTGCCTTGGTCTGCAGCTGGTATGCCAGCTCCTCAGAGGTCAGGCGCACGCCCCGCCGCTTCAGCACCCGCTGCAGCCAGGTGAAGTCGTGCTGCGCGGCGCCCAGCCGCACCACCGGCTGCAGGTTGCCCATGACGACGGTGTGCAGGGAGGGCAGCGCCAGCAGACCTTCCACGTCTGCGGCAGGGCGGGGCAGGGGCAGTGGGAGGCTGTGCATGTGGTGGCAGGCGGGTGGACCGTGCAAGCCGACTAAAAGTGAGCCACAGGCCTGGCCTGGGGCCTCCCCGCCACTCACCTGCCCCCGTCATCTCCAAGCGCCGCGTGAACCCCGCGGCGCATCGAATGGGGCTGCTGCCGGCGGATGGCATGCCGCCGCCGGGAGACGAGCGGGCGCTGCTGCTGCTCTGGTTGGCCAGGTACAGCGCCTCCAGCTGCACAAAAGCGGCGCCAGGGCGCCAGGCGTGGCCACAGTTACCATGGCATGGAGCCACTGGGCGCGCACAAACGGCTGAAGCTGCACACAAACTGGAGTCTGGGACCGACGCTGCTGGGCAAACAGGATGGCGAGGCGGGGGCGCTGCTCGGACACCAGCCGGCTGCCAGGCCTGCCAACCTTCTTGGCTTGCAGCAGAGCGGAAGGGAAGGCTGCGAGGTGGTTGTTGCCCAGGTGCACTTGCTGCAGGTCATGGAGGTAAGGGCCAGCTGGCAGCTCCTGCACACAGCAGCGGTTTGGCATAGTTGGTGAGGGTGACATATGCTCGCAGCGCTGGGAGGTTGGCAGGGAGAGCGTGCTTGGTGCCATCTTTTCGCAGCATGAGATGCCACCGTTTGATCTGCCTAGTAAGCGCCTGTGCCGTGCTTACCTCCAGCTGATTGCACATGAGGTCCAGCCTGGTCAGCAGGCTCTTATCGATGACCTCAGGCGGCAACGCCTCAAGCCCCACGCCCTGCACACGCCGCAATGAGGAGAGGGCAGCCAGCCAGCCAGCCAGTTCCTGTGTGGGTCACCTGAGCGACTCCCCACCTGAGCAAGCGACTCCCCACCCAAAGCGTGCCCTGGCAATCCAGGGCCCCCCTTGATGGTTCCACCTGCAAGCGCATGCCGCGCAGCAGCTTGAAGGGCCCCAGCCAGTCCCAGCGCAGCAGCTGGCGCTGCTCCTCGTGGAAGCCGCGCCCGATGACGTGCAGCCCCTGCAGGTTGGCCGCCAGCGAGGTGGGCAGCTGCAGCGGCGTCTGCGTCACAATCCACAGACACTCCAGCTTGGTCAGCCGCTCCAGGCCGGGAGGCATCACATCTGCAGGCGCGAGGGTAGGCGGGGCAGGCAGGCGGGTTGCACAAGGCATGCGGCGACGGGAGGGCGGCATGGTAGGGCGCATGTCGCTCGCTCGCAGCGTACGGCAAGACCAGCATCCCCCCGCCAGGCTTCTCACAGCGTGTGTCCGCGGGCAGAGCCGGGTCCCACAGCAGGTAGCGCAGCTGGGTGAGGGCGCCCAGGAACTGCGGCTCCGCCACCACAGGCAAGCGCTTCATCTTCAGCGCCGTCAGCTGCACAGGCGGGCACCGACGGGGCGCATCCGGCCAATGAGCAATACAGCATCTGTCGGCTGCCGTGCTGGCCTGACCGCAAGCAATGCTGGCTCTCCGTTCGGCAGGCGAGGGAGTGGGCGCCCGGCAGCCCACATGCAGCAAGCTGTGCGCCTGTTGCACGCCACAGCTGGGCAGCCTCCCACCTGTGTCAGCGTGGACATGGCATCCGGCAGCGCCTCGGTGGGGGGCACCACGGAGCGGATGGGGTAGATGAGTGCCAGGTGGCGCAGCTGCTGCAGGCCTGCCGCCGCAGCTGCCGCCGCCGGTGCCAGCGGTGCGGGGCGCGGCAGCAGCAGCAGGGACACCAGGTCCTGTGGCGGCGCCTCCTCGCTCAGGCTGAACCTGATCTGCAGGCGTTGGAGGCTGGGGAGGCGGTGCAGAGTGCGCGCCGCCGCCGCCGGCTGCCAGTCGGCTCCACCGCGGCAGAGATACACCGTCTCCAGCAGCGCAAACTCTGCGGCCCATGGCGCCATGGCGCCAAAGACGGAGGCAAGGCACAGCGGCCCGCTGAGGCGCAGGGAGCAGAGCGTGCCGCGGTGCGCCGCCGCCTGCCGGCCCAGCCACTGTGAAAGCTGCTGCTGCTGCCTAGCATCATCCATGGCCAGAGGGATGTCTGCATCGATTTCCTGTAAGCAGTCAAGGTGGGCGGTGCACTGTCTGAGGGCTGGCCACCGGCGGCAGCAGGCGGGGGCTGGTGGCGCGAGCGCCATTAGGCTCCCAGCGTCGGCATCGGCAATGCCATGTCGCACAGTGCACAAATAGCCGCAGAGTGGGCTCAATTGGGTTGGCTCTCGCGCCAGTTTTGGGCAAGCGCTGGCGACGAAAGAGATCACCTGAATAGCGGCATTTTGCAATGCGCGTTCGCTGATCAGCTGTGGGAGGTGCTCTTCCCGCACGATGAGGCGACTCCCACACTCCGACAGGGCCATCTAACCCGGTTGAGCTGCGCAACCCTCTAAAAATTGCTATTCGGGGCCATGCAGTGTTGAGCGATGCATCGGGAGCGATGAGGGAGGTTGGGCAGCCAACCCGGCGGTGCCACCCGGGCGTGGGCGCCGGCGGCGCAATTTCGGTTGCCCCGCGCCTTCCCTTGATGTGGAACAGTTGAGCTGGCACAGCAGATTGCGGCAGAATTTACATGACAGCAATCGACGAGGCATTCCAACATGGCCCTGAAACGGTCCCAGCGGGCATCAGGCAGGGAGGTTGGTCAGGGGTCAGCCGCCTCCCCCACCTTCTTGCCGCCCTCCTTGTGCGCATTAACTGCCGCTATAAACTGGTCCAGCACTTCGGGCAGCTTGATGCGCAGCGCAAAGGTGGCCAGCTTGGGAGCAGCCGCCGTTGCAGATGCGGCGGCGGCGGCCTCCCGCGCAGCCCCGTCCCCCTCCTCCTTCTTCCCCGCAGCGCCCTCCTCCGCCGGGACGGCGGCATTGACGCATGCAAAGGTGGCGCCCTGCAGCAAGCACACAGGCACAGCGGGAGGTCGGCACTGCTTCGCCACCGGGTGGCACATACGACCAGCCGCCGCTCTCCACCCCACTCTGCCATTTCCCGGCCACCACACCACACACCCACCTTGCCGCCCTCCATCTTGGACACCTGCATCTCGGCCCACAGGTTTGCATTCATGAGCAGCCGCAGGTTTCCCTTCTGCCGCATCACCAGCCGCGCCTGGCCGCTGCGGCGTCGAAAGAGGGGAGGGGCAGGCGCAGGCAGCAGTGGCAGGGTCAGGACGGCATCGGGAGAGGCCGCCAGAGAAGTCGCATCTCCCGGCTGTGGCGGCGGAGGCCCAGCCCAGCACGGCAGCACACACACAAGAGGCACCTCGCGGGGAGCACAGCTGCGTAGGCGCCCAAACAGGCGGCACCAGGAGAAGGCAGCGTGGAGCAGCACATGCGCGCTGCAGACCTGGGCGCCAGGTTGACCCGCATCTCTCCACGCCCCCGCTCCCGCCACTGCTTCAAGGCATCAAACTCAAACAGCGCGCCCTCCCCTGCACCCAGCCAACCAGAAGGCCCATTGATTGGCCGCCAAGCCAGCCTGGGGCGCTGACCATGCCCCGTGCTGGCACCGACGGGCTGGAGAGGCCACTACACTTGGCGGCAGCAGGGGCCTCCTGCCCCCCGCCTCCACACCTGAGAACACCGTGCGCTCATCCTCCTCCCCAGTGGTCACCGACTGCTCCCCGGGAAGCTCCACCTTGGCCGACGCTGCTGGCGCCGTGCCAAAGATGGGCGTGCCGGATGTGGGAGTCGCCCCAAACAGCGAGGCGCCGGTGCCGGCGGCACTAGCGGCAGCTGCTGCGGGCGCGGCATCCCCTGCCGCCGCCGTGCTGCTGGCTGCCGCAAAGCTGAAGCTGGGGGCGGCGGTGGTGGTGAATGAGAAGATGCTGCTGCTGATTGGCGTGGCGCTGGCGGCCCCAAATGAGAACCCGGCGCCGCTGCTTGCCCCAACTGCAGGCAGGGGACGAGCCAAGCAGCAGTAGGCAAGGGCTGCATCTGCTGCCGACCAAGAGATGCGTGGCAGCACCCCAACACCTGCACAGAGCAAGCAAGCGTGCAGGAAGAGAGCGACTTGCAGCTGCTCACCCAGGGAGCCAAAGCCGCCCGACGCGCTGCCAAAGCCAGAGGTGCCAAACGCGAGGCCGCCAGCAGCGTTGGCAAACGCGCCAAAGCCGCCACTGGGCGCCGCGGGCTTTGCATCTGGCTGCTGCTGCCCTGCTGCCGCGTCCTTCCCCTCTTCCTTCTTGTCCGCCGCCTGCTCGCTGCTGGCCACGGCAGCGCCCTCCTGCGCCGTAGCAGCTGCAGGCTCGGTTGCCGCCCCGGGCTCGGCTGCTGCTGCAGGCTGGGCCTTGCCCGCCGCCGCGGGCGTGGGTGCCGGCGTGCCGGCCGCGCCAAACAGGGACACTTCGGCAGACGGGTTGGCTGCTGCTGCCTGCGCTGCTGGCGGTGCGGTGGTTGCTGCCAGCTGGATGCCGGCAAAGGGGTTGGCCTTGGCGGCGCCGCCACCCTCACCCCCACGTCGCGCCTTGACAATCTTGCGCTGCTTGATCACATCCTCGCTGGCCCTCGCAAAGTTGCTGGGGTCCACGGCCTGCAGGGTCCGGCGCAATGCATGAGCGCCGCGGCACACACCAGGGCAGGCGAGGCGTACGTCGCGCTGCACTAGAGCGTGCGCAGGCGGTGCGCGGCGGGTGGGTCGCAGCCTGCTGGTCAACCTCCTGTGTGCGTGGCTGTCCCAGATCACCAACCAATCAACACTTCTGATGGCAGGGCAGCACAAGGGCCCCCAGGGGCGGCAGCCAGGCGAATTACAAGAACTGCGTGGGCGGGAGACGAACCCCACCTGCTCCTCCTCGTCTGATTCATCGTCCTTGGTCAGCTGCCGCTCGCTGCCGCGCTTCTTGGCGCTCGGCTCAAGGTGGTCTGCACCGGGGCAGGCAGGAGCGAGCAACGGTGAGTGGGCGGCGCGATCAGCTGCCGGCAGGCCCACCCCAGGCGCCAGGTCGATTCCCCAGGCACCGCCTCTGCACCTGTGGGCCGCTTGCCGCTCATTTCAATAGCATCCACGCCCACCAACTGCACAGGCGCGGCCCAGAGTGTTGCACTGCGGCTTTGGGATGTGTCCATCCAGCATCATCGCCGGGGGCTCCTTTCGCAACTCCTAGGGGCAGTACATCCAGCTCAGGCATGTGTACGGCCCCGATGAGGTGAGTGATGCCTCTCCCGGTGCCATCGCTTGTCCCATCGTCGTCGTTTGATCACTCAGCTCACACCAATCGCCATGGCTGCCGCCCTCACCCAGAGCAAGTTCCTCATGGGCACTGCCCTCGTCTCCAAGAGGCTTCTGGCCTCGCGCCGGGCCATGGACATGACTACCCGGGCCGCGTTCACCCTGCCTCCCCTGCCCTACCCCATCGTGAGTGGGCGGCATGGATCGGCATGGGCTAGAAGCTTGTGTGCACACATCGCCCCAGAGCCTCTGGGCCCCTGGGACCCTGCCCTGTGCCCAGATGGAGGCAATGCGCCAGCTTTGTATGGGCCGCATTGCGCAGCAAGCATCTTGCCAATTTGCTGCCGTCGCCGACGTCAACCCTACCACCCTTGCTGGCGGCGCCTGGCTGCAGGATGCTCTGGAGAAGAAGGGCATGTCCAAGGTGTGTAGGGGGGTCGTGAGGTGATGAAAGTCTTGCTGGGCAGGGAGCCGGGGCGCCCTGGCATGCCCAAAACCAGCCAGTCGACCTCCAGTGCCTCGGGCCTTCAGTTTGCAGCGGCTTGGTTGCCTGCCTTCCTTGCAGACCACCTTTGAGTTCCACTATGGCAAGCACCACCAGGCATATGTGACCAACCTGAACAACCAGATCGCGGGCAAGGACCTTGAGAGCCTGTCGATCGAGGAGGTGAGACGAGGTGGCGTGGCTGGCGGAATCTGCCACATGCGGCCATCTGTTGCGCGGCATGGCTGGCAGGCTGTCATCGGCCTCCGCCAGCAATGGATGTGCTGCGTGGTCCAGCACGACATAGCCGAGCCAGAGGGTTGCCCAAGGGACGGGTGAGCAGTCACTCCGAGCGTGGCAGCGCACCATCCTCGCCCCACCACCGGGTCGGCCTGTGGGCGTGCAGGTCATGCTCAAGACCTTCAACGGCGGCAAGCCCACCCCCGAGTTCAACAACGCCGCCCAGGTGGTGAACCACACCTTCTTCTGGGAGTCGATGAGCCCCAACGGCGGCGGTGAGCGGGCCAGCAGGCAGGGCGGGGGGCTGGCCATGCAGCCCCGGCCGCTGGTGGGTGGCCAGCCCCCAGGCGCGAGCGCTGCACGCGAGTGCCGCCGCTGACAGGGCCCTGCCGGCTGTGTGCCCGTGCTGCCCTGTACTGCAGGCAAGCCCAGCGGCAAGGTGGCTGAGGCCATTGAGAAGGACCTGGGCGGCTACGACAAGTTTGTGGAGGCCTTCAAGGCGGCGGGTGGGTGTGGGTCACGGGACAACACGTCATGTGGGGCTGGGCGGTGCCAGCGAGCCAGCACAGCGAGCTGCTCCTTGCGCCGCAAGAATGGGTTGGCTTGGCCCTGGCCCCCTCCTGTTTCTGTCAGCTCATTGCTTCCCCCGGCTGGCTGCGCCGCAGGCGCCACCCAGTTTGGCAGCGGCTGGGCGTGGCTGAGCGTGAACAAGGAGGGCAAGCTGGAGGTGACCAAGACCCCCAACGCCGAGAACCCGTGGTGCTACGGAGCCACTCCTATCCTCACCATGGATGTCTGGTGAGTGAGAGAGGGCGGCTGGGCACAGCGCGCACACCGGCGTGCCTGGCTGCTGCTGCCCGCCAGCCAGCAGTGCGGCTAGTAGTGGCTGTCTGCCCCTGCGCTGAGCTGTTCCGGTCTCCCCTCCCCCTCCCCTGGCGCAGGGAGCACGCCTACTACCTGGATGTCCAGAACCGCCGCCCCGACTTCATCACCAAGTGAGCCCCCGCTGCCTGGCCGCATGCCGCCTCGCTGCGCTTGCCTGGCGGCGGGAGTATCAGCGGCGTCGCCTGTGTCTGCCTGCGCGTCTCCTCACGCTGCCGTTTTGGCTAACATCCCTCTCCTGCCCCTCCCCTGAGCAGCTTTGTGGACAACCTGATCGACTGGGACCGCGTGGAGCAGCGCTACCTGGCCGCCACCAAGTGAGGCGGGCGCCCCGCCGCCCCTCCCCACGCCACGACTCCATGCACTGCGCACCATGCCACGATACCAACCACCCGACGCACTTGTCCTCCGATTGTTGTTCTGAAGCATTTGATTCTGCTTGCAAGCAAGTGAGAGTGTAACATCCGAGAGAGGGTGTGCGACAGGCTAGCAGAGCAGGAGGTTTGGCAGGTGGTGGGCAGGGAAACAAGCTCAGGTTTTCAGACGAGGTGCTGAGAGGACAGGGCAACAGTCGTGGTGTCAGCAGGACTCGGGCGAGCCACCAGCCCCAAGGCGGGGGTCAACCTGGGAGGGCGGCAGTGTGCTGGCGGCAAAGCGCTTGCCGGTGGGCGGGGCTGGAGCGCTTGTGCGCCTCCACGCCATGTGCCCTACAAATGGTGGGTTGAGCCATCTTCCAACTCTTCCGATTGACTTGGGGCTGTTCGTCCGGACGATCAGGCGGGGAGAGATTGCAAGTTCACGAGTCTCGAGTTCTGATGGTCTAGATCACCACTGGCAATCGGCTGCGACATCCGGAAGTGGCTGCAAGTGCCTGGGAAGGATGCTGGTCAAGGTGTGAGACGCGGCACCTGCCGACAGCACACGCCAGCCTTGTGTCCGGCACATCTGTCGCATGGCGGGTAGCGTGGCGAGTCTTAAACGCCACACGGCTGAAAGACGCCGCCTTTCTCTCCTCCTGTTCACCCTGCACTTGAATCGCCAGGTCTCTTGGACTCCCAGACCCTTGCCCATGGCCTCCTGCGGCTCCACGCAGGGATGCATGGGAGCTGGCAGCCGGCAGAGGAGCCCCCAGGCAGCTCCCCGGTGCCTGCAAAGCCTGGGCGCCGCCCGGTGTGTGGCCAGCAGCGCCGGCGCCACCCGCCCACGCGGCACGCGCTCGACAGCTGCAGCCAGCGGCAACCAACCGGCGGGGCCCAGCAGCAGCAGCAGTAGCTCCAGCGGCAAGCCCAGCGGCCTGGGCGTGGGCGTGCCAACCCAGCATTACTTTGCGACGCGTCAGCAGCCCACTGTGGTGGGCGGCACCGGCAACTGCGGCGGCAGCTGCACCACCCGTGCGCTCGTGCTGTACACAAAGGGGCTCGAGTATGCCAGGTGCATGAGGGGCAGGACTTCATGCTGCTTGCCTGCTCAGCTGTGCCCCTTTTCCGCGCTGTTGGTCTGGGATGGCCCGTCCACACCGCCCCGCTTCCCCGCTCCCGACCGCGCAGGAATGAGCAGTGGGACGTAGCTCGTCGCGTGTTTGAGAAGACGGTGCAAGAGTGCCCGGCATTCGTCAAACCCTGGGTGTCGTGGGCGCAGGTGCGGTGCTGCACTTGACTCCCTCCAAAGATCTTTGTGTCGTGCCCTGTGGCGAAGCCTGTGCCCATCCCAGCTGTGCCACCAACCCCGCCCTCCTCACCCCACGCACCTGCCCATGGTGCAGATGGAGAAGCGCTGCATCCCTTGCGGCGACGACCGCCGCTGGGCCAACTGCCGCACCGTGCTGCAGCGCGGCCTGCTGCACAACCGCGACGCGCCGGCGCTGCTGCAGGCCTGGGGCCTCATGGAGATGCAGGTGAGAGGGCACGGGGTGGGGCCAGGGGCAGGGCGGCAGCCGGGCTGCTTCAGCTTGCGGGGCACCTGGCTACCCCGCTGCAGCCACGCCAAACCCTCATGCGCAGCCGCCTCTGCTCCTGCCCTGCCTGTGCAGCGCGGCAACCTGCTGGGCGCCATCCTGCTGCTGGACCGCAGCGCCGCGCTGGAGCCCCGCAACCGACCTGTGCTGCGCTGGAAGCCGGTGGTGGAGGCGCGGCAGACGGTGGGTGCGCGGCGCGGCCCCAAGGCACCACCCGACAGCAACTGATGCACCGGCTGGCCCTGCCCAGCGTGCTCCGCCCCCTCTACCCTGTCCATTCCTCGTGTGCGCCGCTGCTCCGCCGGCGCAGCTGCGGCAGCACCCCATACACCCTTTTAACCTCGATGCTTGCCCCGCATCTGCCCTGCTCACCTGCCTTGCCGAGAGACGCTGTTTTGCCCGTCGCTGTAAGTCCTCCCGCTGTATGATCCTGCCCCACTGTTTGAAGCCCGCCCCATGTCCCATGCGCACTGCGTTGAGCACTGTTTTCCCTGCCCCCAACCCGCTTCTCAAGTGCGAAAGAATGTTTGCATTGCGCCTGAGTGGAGATATGGAAACATACACTGAACATGTTGTAACAAGAAGGTGGCAAGAAAGTATAGGGGCAAACCGCTGGGGCCTTGATGAATACAAACGCAGCAGGGGCATGCAGTTGTGCAGCATCGCAATAGATGCCGTGCAGAATCGGTACACAGTGGGGTACAGCAGCAGGCCCACCGCATGTCACGCCCACTTGCTGCCCAACAGCGCCGCCACTGATCCCCAGCCGCGCAGGCCGGCCGGCACTTCGCCATCAAAGCCAAACGCCCCCAGTGTGGCCGCCACTTGCGCCAGTAGGATCACAACATCCACACAGATGAGCACAATGACGATCACCTGCGAAGGGGCAGGCAGGCAGGCAGGGCAGGCAGGCAGGCAGGCGCTCAGTTCAAACGCCAGTGAAGCAAAGTGGGACCCAGCCGCGCGCCAGCTGCTCAGAGCCGGCCGCCGCCCCCTCCCGCGGCCCCACGGCAGCAGCAGGGCGCCACCTCGAGGAAGTCGGAGTGCTGGGCCTGGCCCTGCAGGCGCAGCATGTCCAGCAGCTCGTGCAGCAGGCCCAGGCGTGCGTTGAGCACCTCGATGCGGTCCTCCATCTCCAGGTAGTCAAACACCTGTGTGTGGGTGTGTGGGTGTGTGGGTGAGGGGGCAGCAGGAGGTGAGGGAGGCGGGCAGAGACGACGGGGCGCAAGGCCTGGCCCCCATGCCACCCCACCCCCCCACCCCCAGCGCGCAGCCCCGTGCACCTTGTCATACACGCTCTGCATGTGGTCCCCGACGCCCGCCTCCCAGAAGTAGTCGGGCGTGTCCAGCACGCTGCCCAGCAGGTTGAGGGAGGCCTGCTCGATGAACACGCGCCCCATCAGCTTGGCCACCGCCTGGCGCGGCACCAGAGGAAGGGGGCGGGTGAGAGCCTGGGCGAGAGCAGAGCGCGCTGGCGAGCAGGTGCAGCTGTGCGCACGGCAGGCCACAGTGCGGCGACAGCACTCAGCAGCGGCAGGCGATGCAGGTGTTTCCAGGCGGCTGCAGCACCCCCACCTTATCTGAGATGCGGACCTGCATGCAGGTGCAGGGGATGGGGTGCACGTCAGCCAGCAGGGAGGGCAGGAGGCGCGGCACCGGGCAGAGAGCAGCAGCAGGCTGGCCGAGCTGCCTGGACTTGGCGGCAACCGCAGCGGTGCAGCCCACCTTGCCCTCCCGGGCCAGCGCGATGGGCAGCTTGCGCGTCACCTCGGCGATAGAGAGCGCCCGTTCCTGCGCAGACGGGTGGCGCAGCCGTGGCTGAGCAGGGCGGGGCAGGTGGCGCAAAGCGACCGCTGCCCCGGGGGCCCTATACCCACCCGACCCAGCTGGAAACCTCTGCAGGAGTGAGACTGCTGATTGCTCAGACACCAGGCAGGGCCGCACCTCGAGCACGGATAGTTTGGTGGACTGGGAGAGGGCAAAGGAGATGCTTAATTTCATGAGGTGCAGGTCGGCCATGGTCGGGGACAGGGTGAGCAGGTCGTTCTGCACACAGATGAGAGGGGTGGACAAGAACGGAGTTCGGGAGCAAGCACACAAGGAGCTCTGGCAAATCAGGCATGGGTTGGCCTGGCCGGTAGCGAGCGAGCACGTGATTCGGGCGCGTCTCCGCAAGCCAGAAGGTGTGGCAGATGCGGCCCGGGGTCCGCGCTGCGCCAGCCCCCGCAGCGCGCCTGGATGCTGGGCTTGGAGTAGGGTACCATGCGGAAGGCAAAGGTGTCGCGCTCAACCTTGGCCCTGGACAGCTTCCCCTCCTCATACCTGCACACCCCACAGCGGGCAGCCGGAACAGGTCAACCAGGCGGGCAGGCTGGCAGCCGGGCAGGCCACCGGCCAAAGACGCGAGCGGGCCAAGATAGCGGCAGCGCTGGCCGCTGCTCACGGCTTCAGTGACTGCTCCAGTATGCTCGTCTCCTGGGCTGGGCTCAGGTTCCAGAAGCAGGCGACCCCAAAGTCGAAGAAGCAGACATCGCCCGCCACCTCACCCGTCCTCGTCACGTAGCGGGTGAAGAGCACCTCGGGGAAGTCTTCGCACCTGCGGGGAGGCCCGTATTAGGCAGACAAGGGTCGGGCAGGGCTTGACCAAAACGTGCAGCAGGGCGTGTATGTAAGGGAGGCTTGCAGGTCGGGCAAGGCAGTGCATCTACAGTCCATCGAGCAGCCTGCCGTCTCAGGTGTGCCACTCACAGCCCGGGTGGCTAGCTGCCCCCGCCTACTCACGTGTGGCCGCTGCTCTCCAAGTGCTCCCGCAGCCCCTTGAGGTCATAGCTGCAGGCATCAGGGCAGCGGGCAGCAGCAGCAGCGTCAACCATGGCTGGGTGGGCGTCGGCGCCAGCGGGATGTGCCGCTTCAGCAGGCCACCCAGACGCCAGGGTGCGGTGCTCCCATGCACACCCCACCAGGCAGCATTCGCAGCCCTGGTCCCCCACCTGTTTGCGGTGCAGTAAATAGTGATGCGCCCTATCACAGCCGGGTCCTCTGCCCCCAGCGACAACAGCTCGTCCTCCCCTAGCAAGCTGTCGCGCGGCGAGTGGTTGATGGTGGGCACTTCCAGCGCCGACAGCTGGCCCTCCTCCAGCAGCGCCACAAGCTTGTCGCGGTTCTTGCGCAGCTGGGCGCTGGTGAGAGGCACCTGCATGCAGGCAGGGTGCATCAGGATTGGCATGGAGCGGGGGAGGGAGGACAGGAGGGTGCACATGCTCAGGACGGCAGGGCTGCGTTCCAGCGGCATCCGTGCTTGCCTCTGGCGGCAGCAGTGACGACCGCCGCTTCAGCAGCTTGCGCAGCAGGCCCGCCTCGTCTTCCCCTTGGGGTGGGAAGCTCTGGGAGTGGGAGGCTACACCCGGCAGCGGCAGCTGCGCGCGGCCGCGGCCCACAGGGCGGGGCCTGGTGCCGCCGCTGCCACCGCCGCTGGTGGACGGGCCCTCGGGCCCCGGCCCGCCACTGCCGCTCCGCTCCATGCCGCCGTGACAGACGACTGCGCGCTGCAGACGGGGGGCCAGGCCCCAGCCAGGGCAGGGCAGTGCGCAGCGCAGGGCGGCCTCAAGCTATCTCCAATGCAACACTGGCTGAGCGAGGTGATAAGGGTGATCGATGTGCCGAGCAACGACGCCTCGCGCGGAAGAAGGGGTGTGCCCAGCAGGACAGGCATGCCTAGGCAGGGTCTGAGCGCCTCCTGCATTGTCTACTCTCGTCACATTGTTTGCAGAAGCTGTAGATTGCTCTGGAGAGCGCTGCTAGCAGCCGTCATGTCCTTGAAGGACTCCCTTAGCATCCTGAGCAAGCGGTGGCAGCGGGAACCCGTGAAGCAGGCCGACTTGGTGAGCCCGGGGCTGCGGGGGGATGGGGTTGCGCCGCATCACCGGCTCGGCGACGGCGGCGGCGCGGCGGCGCGGGCCAGCGGGCGGGAGGGCGTTTTGCGTGGAGACAAGCATCTGACGTCCTAATCTCCCGCACTCTGCCTCCCACTTGCGCCTGCTGCAGCAACTACTCAAGGCGGTAGCCTTCTTTGTGGGCAGCATCATCGTGTCGCGCAATTTCGGCGACGCGTTCGCAATCTAGACAGCATAGAATGTTGAGCTTGATTGTTGAGCGAATGTAACCCCATACACACCACCCGTGCCCGAGCCCCGCCAGTAGTGGATGGATGGTGGAGGAAGGGTGTCAAACGCTGTAGTCTCTCGTTCATCCAGCGCTGGCGCCCTGCCAGCTGGGCAGGGAACAGGCATCTCAATTGGGCATCTTTCGGCTCATGCTTGGAAGAGTGAATTTAGTTGAGGTTGCTGGCAACATTGGAGCCACTCTGGGCGACCACCTTGCTGCCACAGTCAGCGGAGGAGGTCACTTGCTTCAGGGGCGCTCCCCGAAGCACCGCGCAAGCTCCAGAAGCACCGAACCGGCGATCAGAGCCATCACACTGAGCGGCAGCCGGCATGGCTGGCGATGAAGCAGCCGCGCCGCCGGCCGCGCAGGCGGCGGCGCCGCCGCGCACGCCTCTCATTACGTGCACCAAGCACGTCAGCCAGACCCCTCAGTACCTGTACATGTGCACGAACAACACCTCCACCTTCAAGAATGAAAGCATTTTCAAGTCGTCAGACGGCTCCCTGCTGTACAGGTGGGGTGGGGGCGACATTGTTTGGCATGACGCCTGCATTGACAGGCGTACCGCCGAGCCAAACGCCTGCATGCCGTCCATGCCTGTGTGTGCCGAATTCCCTGCTGCCTGCTGTGTGCAGGCTGCAGAACAACAACGGCATTTTCCGGGAGAACAAGGTTTTGACCGACGCCCAGGGCAACGTGGTGCTCACCGCTAAGAAGTTTCCGCTGAGCCTGGCCAAGTGGACCATCTGCTCCCCCAGCGGCACCGTGCTGGCCAAGACACGCACCATCTCAGGCATGGCCAAGTATGCTGTGGAGGTGGACGTGCCGTCCGCCCGCATCAAGCCCACCTTCACCGTATCGCCCGACCTGAGCAACAGCCAGGTGCTGATGTGGCAGAATAACGGCAAGGGCAAGGAGGACACCACGATGTGCACCGCGACCTATGGCGCCAATGTGGCCCTCGGCCTGGTGTCGGCGGCGGTGCAAGACTGGACTTACCACATCGTGGTGGAGCCCGGCGCAGGTGGGGCGGGCAGGGAGGAGCCTGTGTGGGGATGGAGGAGCCTGCGCGCCTCATTGTGCATGTGTATGTCACACTGTGCTCCCTCTAAACCCCAAAAAGAGAATGTGCCTGCAGATGCGGCGCTGGCGTGCTGCTTCCTCATCATCTTTACAGGTGCGTGGCGCTTGCCAGGCTGCCTGCATGCGTGAACTCAGTGGGGTTACAGTCCTGACAGCCAGCTGCCTTCCCCGTCTGCTGCAGACTTGCTGGAGTGGAATGCCCTGGGCGGTGCCTTTGGCATGAACTGAACGACTGCATCACCAGCTGCCACAGCCATGATTCGTGCAATAAATTATAGCCTTCCTGCCAGCCCATCCAATGCTGGCGATCGTGCCATGCCCTACTTGTACACCCTCCTTTCACCATTCCGCTTAAACACGCATATCAGCTCTGCCCCAAGTGCTCTTCTTTCATTCTTGTTTAGAATTACTCAACTCCGTACTAAATAGAACTAACTGCATGCCACTCTGAGCAGTTATGGGCCTGCCGGCTCATGCGCCGCGGGGGCCTTGCCGCCGCCGTCGCCGTGTTCCGTCGCTTGCGCAGCCTCTGACCGCTGCTCGCTGTCCTCCTCCAGGTCCTGAGTCAGGTCTGCCAGCGCAAACGACCGCTCCACCGCTTTCTTCCACTTGGCATGCCGCCGGCTGGCCGCCGCTGCCGTGATCTGCGGCTCAAACAGCGTGCCTCCTGCGATCGCCGCGGCGGGGAGAGGCGCACACAGCGCACAAGTGCAGCATGTCAAGCCTGAGGATGAGCAACAAGGTGTTAGCCCTGTGCCTGCCTGCGCCCTGCCACCCCAGCGCCACCTCAGCGCCGCCTCGGCCCACCCGTGTTGTGCTTCAGGTCCTCAAACGCCTCCTCAGCAGTCCAGAACCCCACCCCAATGCCCGCCGCCAGCGCCGCCCCCAGCGACGTCGTCTCCATGTGCGCCGGGCGCCGCACCGGCACCTGCAGGATGTCGGCCTGCATCTGCAGGAGGGCACAAGCAGGGCACGGCATGCAGGATGGATGGGTGGAGATGCGGGGAAAGGAGACATGCCAAGGAGGGAGACACGCGGCGGCATGCCCTGCTGTCACACGCACACGCGGCCGCGACGGCCTGCTGCCGCACTCAAGGGCCTGCCGCCGCCACACCTGCATCAGCAGGCTGTTCTGGCTGGCGCCTCCGTCCACAAACAGCGTGCGCAGCTCGCTGCAGTCGGCGTCCTGCTGCATGGCCAGCAGCACATCCAGCGTCTGGAAGCAGATGGCCTCCAGCATCGCCCGCACAATGTGGGCCTGCGGGCACAGCGCGTGGGCGAACAGGCGGGGCGCGCGGCAGGCGGCAAGAGTGGGTGAGGCGATGGAGCAGGGCCAAGCGCGGGCATGCCAGCCAGAAATCAGGAAAAACAGGAGCCTCAGGCAGCAGTCGGCGGGCAGGTGTCTCGTGGCCTCCCCTGCGGCCCGCCACGCCTGCCCTGCCAGCCCCGCCACCCCAGCACGCACCTTGGTGCTGTACTGGGTCAGCCCCACGATGGCCCCCCGTGCGTCGTCGCGCCACCAGGGCGCCAGCAGGCCGCCAAAGGCGGGCACAAAGTAGACGCCGCCGCTGTCGGGCACCCCCGCCGCCACCTCCTCCGAGTCTGCGGCCGAGGCGATGAAGCCCAAGCGATCGCGCAGCCAGCTGATGCCCTGCCCCGCGATGGCGATGCTGCCCTCCAGGGCATAGGAGGGGGCGGCGCCGGCGCCCAGCTGGAAGGCCAGCGTGCTCAGCAGGCCGTGGCTGGACTGCACCAGCTCGGACCCCGTGTTGAGCAGCATGAAGCAGCCTGCGGGCAGCGCCGCGGAGGCAGGGGCGGCTGGCTGGTGGATGAAGGGACAGGCCGGCTATGCAGCCGAGCTCCCGGACAGAGGGAGGTATGGCGGCGCACCTGTGCCGTAGGTGTTCTTGGCCTCGTGCACCGCGCACCGCTGCCCCATCATCGCCGCCTGCTGGTCGCCCAGGCAGCCCGCGATTGGCACGCCCTGCAGGGGCCCATCCACCGCCACGGTGCTGCAGGGCGGGCAGGGCGGCGTGGGGAGCGCAGGTGGGGAGGTGGAGGGCACTCCCGCTGCTGGTGCAGACCCTGCTGTTCGAGCTTGGCGACAGGCCCGTGCATCAACTCAACATCCCGCCCATGCCTGCGCTACCGCACAGCCCACTGCCCTCCACCCTGCACCCCGCCCACCACCCGCCCTCACCCGTACACCTCGGCGTTGCTGCGGATGTCGGGCAGCATGTCGGGGCGCACGCCAAACAGGTGCAGCGTGGGCTTGTGCCACGTCAGCGTCCGCAGGTCCATCAGGTTGGTGCGCGAGGCGTTGCTGGCATCGGTCAGGTGCAGCCCGCCGCCGGCGGCGCCGCCTGCGCGGGGCAGACGGGCAGCGTGAGCGTGGGCAATGGGGCGCACGATGGCAGGCACATGGGAGGAAGGCAGCCGGCGCCGGCCCCGAGCGGTTGGCGCCCGCGCAAAGCCGGGCTGCTGGGAACAGCTGGCCGCTCCCGCAACGCCGCCGCCACCACCACCAAACTTCCCACGCCCCCGATCACAATCACTCCATGCCACAGGCGCACCTGTGAGCTGGTAGATGAGCCAGGAGTCGACGGTGCCAAACATGCAGCGCCCCTGGGCGGCCGCCGCCGCCACCGCGGGCGCATTGTCCAGCAGCCACTTGAGCTTGTAGGCGGAAAAGTAGGTAGAGACGGGCAGCCCCGTGACTGGAGCAGCAGGCACAGCAGGCGGCAGGGGGCCAGTGTCAGGGAGGGAGGGAAGGCTGGCAGGCAAGCTGCCTAGCAGTGCAGCGCCTAAGACGGGCCGCAGCCCAGCCCGCTGTCCGCTGCCCAGCCCAGCCTTCCCTCTCCCCCACCCAACAGCAGCAGAAGGCAGCGTCTGGCCTACCTGGTCGGAAGTAGTCGTTGCTGCCCAGCTGCTCCACCACGGAGCGGCAGATGGCGGCGGTGCGGTTGTCCAGCCACACAATGGCATTATGCAGCGGCTGGCCCGTCTGCCGGTCCCACACAACGGTCGTCTCGCCTGCAGCGGGCCCAGGCCAGGAGCCGGCACGCCATGCACGGTCTATGCCAAGCGCGGCGCCAGCAATCCAGCGGCGCAGCAGCCCGCACTCAGGCCAGGGTGGCCAGGCATGGCCTCAGCGACAGTGTTCGCTCGCTCACGCTGGTTGGTTATGCCAATGGCGGTGACAGTCAGGGCACCATACTGCTCCAGTGCAGCAGTCATGGTCTGCTGTACCGCCTCCTGCACGCTGCGCCAGATGGCCAGAGGGTCCTGCTCCACCCACCTGCGGCACGGTGCACGACCGAGGGGGGCAATCCATAACTGGCGGCCTGGTGCTGCGAAAAAGCAATACAGGACAGGCATGCCAGCACCGGAGGCCTCAGGCATCACCCACCCGGCATGCGGGTAGATCTGCGGAAATTCCACTTGGCTGCTGGCCAGCGGGCGGCACTGCTTGTCGTACAGGAAGAAGCGGGTGCTCTGGGTACCCTGCATTGAGGCAGGCATGGTGCGTGTGTATTTGTGTTGGTCGTGGTGGAGATGGTACACCATCAGCCTAGGGGAGCCAGGCTTAGAGCCCAGGCAGCTGTAGGGACGCATGCGCGGAGCAGCACATCCCTGGCTGCAATGCGGGGGTGCACATCCAGGGCTTCCGCAGGCCGAACCTGGTCGATGGCACCGACGCACTCCATGGCGGCGATGGCGGACTGCCCGCCGTGTGCGACAAAGCAGGCCGGAGCCCGTGCACCGTCTACTGCAATGCAAGACACGGGAGGCACCAGATGCATCCTCTCCATCACATTTCACGGAAGGCCATGCTGCTGCGCAAGCTAGGCAGCGGGTGGTTGGCGGCAGCGGTGGCGGCGGGGCAGCAGGGTCTGCAGCGCTCGGTGCCCCGCACGATTCCGCGGCCTACGCACACGCTCCCGCAGCCTTTGCAGCCAGCTTTCCAGGGGCAAGCACGCTGTCGGGCTCGCCTTTCGCACTTGCCCAAAACTCAATGGCTTGCCGTGTCAGAGCTAGCGCTGCAGGCCAGATGGAGATAACGCACACACAACACAGGAGGAAACGCTGCGATGCCGGTTGGCGCCATGTTGGTTTTTCTTCTCGGCAAGGCAGCCCTTGGGATGCAGCCATCGGCTGCACCATTGCGAAAATCGATCATTAGCAATGGCAGTAGGCAGGATGATGCTCTCAGGCAGCCGTGCAGCGGCCCAGCGGCTGCTACACAGGTGAGCCCTGGGGCTTGGCCTCCAAAACAAACTCCCATTGCACCAGTGACTGCCCTGCTGGACCCCCTGACGCAATCTGCATTGCCCCCATTGTGCAGCCTGGCTGGCACGGCGTATCGCTCCGCTGCTCGGTCACTCTTCAGCGGCGTCGCCGCCAGGTGGGGCCGCCCCGTCCCACTCCCTGTGGTGTCCCTGCCTGCTGTGCGTGGCTGAAAAATAGGGGACTTCATGGCTGTGTAGTAGTCTGCCAATTGCGTGTTCAGAGAGGCACCCTGATGTTGCTGCGCAGGCGGTCGCTGCCGGTAGCGGGCAGTCGCCTAGCAGGTGCGCACTGCTGCTGCTATTGCTGCCATGCCCATTCTAACCAAAATTGTGTGCATTCTGACCTTGAACGCTTCAATATCAGAAGCAGAAGCAGCTGGCCAAAAGCTGGGCTGCCACCCGGCACGGGTGTGTGTAGGGTGGCGGGGGCATGCCATCGCCGTGTCTGCGGCAGCAGCAGCGGAGGAGCCCGAGCCCCGCTCCTATCCCTACGCGCCACAGAATGTGAGCTTGGCAGCATGAGACAGCCATTTAGGCGTGATGGCAGCAACAACAGAGACACGTTGCAGATGCTTTGTGCTGCAGCATCATCCAGAACTGTGCATTTCCTTGGTGCCACCCCTGCTCTTCTACAGGTCACGCTGGAGCCCCGCCAGGTGTCGGTGACCAGCTCTGGCGGCACTCCCGCCGCCTTTGCTGGCGACCTGCTGGTGCTGGGGGTGACGGAGGAGGCGTTTGAGGTTGTGGGTGAGGCGCCTTGCAGCTGTGCATCGCAAGCTGGCGGCGATGCTCAGCCACTTGGCAGGCACACCACGGTGCCTGCAGAGGGTGCAGCAGAGAGAGCGCGGTTGGTGTGGTTACCAGCATCTTGAACGCCTGCTTGGGCCGCCGTGTGCCCTTGCGTGCAGACGACAAGCCCAGCATCAAGAGCGAGGAGCTCAAGGAGCTGGATGGCCAGCTGGGCGGCGCCCTATCCGACATTGTGGCGCTGCACGAGTTCAAGGGCAAAGCGGTGGGCTGCGCCGCCGCCTGCCCGTGCATGCTGGCCGCCTGTGCCGCCTGTGCCGCCGAGGCAGGAGCTGTCGTGCAGCAGCTGATCACCTGCCTGCTGCATGCGCCCTGTGGCCTGCAGGGCAGCAGCCAGACGGTGCGATGCGGCGGGCAGGCCCGGTTTGTGACGCTGTATGGCCTTGGGCCTGCCGACAAGGTCAAGGTTGCGTCGGACTGGGGCGCCTCCCCCTTCCAGACCTTTGGCGCCACCATCGCCTCGGCGGCCAAGGCCAACAAGGCCAAGACCGTGGGCGCGGCGCTGGTGGGCAGCACACTGTCGGGTGCGCCACGTGCTGCCGTTGATGGACCCCCCCCACACACACACACACACTTGCTGCTGTGCCCTGGCCACAGAACTAGTGCTCGCGCCATGTGCTGCGCAGAGGCGGATGCTGCGGCGGCGGCAGGCAAGGCGGCCAACGGCATCGTCAACGGCGCCTACGAGGCCACGCGCTTCAAGGCCAAGCCCAACCACTCCACCCTGGAGTCGGGTGGGTGGAGATGGAGAGGGGGGTGCCCACCGGTGTCAGCTGTGCCTCCGTGCCCTCCTCTGCGGCACGTGCACAGCCGATGCGGCCCTCTGGCGGATGCTCGCTGACCCCTGCTGCGCGCTGCTCCTGACCCCTGGCTCGCGCGCTGCCTGCGTGCAGTGGAGCTGATGTTTGGCGGCGAGGGTGCCGGCGCCGCCATTGCGCGCGGCAAGGCGCTGGCGCTGGGGACGCTGGTGACTCGCTACCTGGTGGAGGCGCCGCCCAATGTCTGCACCCCCACGTGCGCATGGCAGCCAATTGCAGGGCGTGCAAGGGGTCCAGCCATGGGGCAGCCCCACCCCCTCTCAATGCGCCGCGCCGCTGCCTACGCTGATCATCGCCGTGGCTGCTGCTCCACTCACAGCTGGTGTGTGCATGCTGGTGCAGCCACCTGGCGGAGGCGGCGGCCAAGATTGCGGCGGAGGCGCCGGATGTGATGAAGCTGGAGGTGCGGCGGAGGCGCACATGCTGGCATGCAGCTCCCGCCGCTGGCACATGCCATGGAGGATGGGAGCGAGGGAAGGTGCCGGCCAGGATGGCAACGGTCCACGCAGCCAGGAATGCGCTGACGTCGCGCCGTCGCTGCCACCGCCCTCGTTCCTGCTGCTGCCGCGGCCCGCAGGTGCTGGAGAAGGCGGAGTGCGAGGCGCTGGGCATGGGGCTGTACCTGGGAGTGGCTGAGGCCGCCGACGAGCCCCCCAAGTTCATCCACCTCACATATACACCCGGGGGTGCGCTGCGCTGCGCTGGGCTGCGCTGCGCTGGGCTTGGGTGCCTGCGGTGTCGATGTACCGTGCCGCCGGCCGCTTGCTGGCCAGCCCAGCTGCCCAGGGTGGCAGACGAGGCATCGAGCTGCTGCGTGCATGCGTGTGTGGGTGCAGGAGAGGTGAAGAAGAATGTGGCGATTGTGGGCAAGGGGCTGACCTTTGACAGCGGCGGCTACAACCTCAAGGCGGGGGCCGGCTCCATGATTGAGATGATGAAGTTCGAGTGAGGGCGGGGGTGGGGTGTGCGCACCTGGTCTGCGTCTGTGTGTTGTGGTGTGTGTGTGTGGTGTGAAGGGAGGAAGCACAGCTCGGCTGCTCATCACATGCGCGGCAGAGCTGCCTGCGGCCAGTCCAGCATGACCAGCTCCGGCCTGCATCCACCCAGCTCACCTGGGGCTCCTCATAACGCTGTGTGCCTGCAGCATGGGCGGGTCGGGCGCCACGCTGGGAGCTGCCAAGGCCATCTCTCTGATGAAACCAGAGGGCGTGCAGGTGGGGTGGCGGTGACGTGGTGAAGAGTGCATGTGTGTGTGTGTGGGGTGCGTGGCTGCATGCGGTGTGCAGCTGGGTTGAAGAATTGCGTGTGTCTGACTGCTACACATTGCTTGCACCATCAGCGCCAGCGCTGCGTGAGCTCACCACCCGCCCCGCTCGCCATCTGCCTGCCTGCCAGGTCCACTTCATCATCGCCTCCTGCGAAAACATGGTGGATGGGCGGGGGCTGCGCCCTGGGGATGTGCTTGTGGCCAGCAACGGCAAGACGGTCGAGATAAACAACACAGACGCGGAGGGGCGCCTGACGCTGGCCGACGCGCTGCTATATGCGCAGAAGCAGTGCGGCGCGGGTGGGTGAGGTCATCGGCGGCGCTGCGGTGGTGCAGCGCAGGGGCGAGTGCGGTGGTGGTTGGGAGAGGCTGGGGTGTGAGTGGGCTGGTGGCCTCTTGCTGGGCACATGCTGCACTGCAGCCCTCTGCCAGCTCATGCGGTCTGCCTGCCTGCCGGCTCCTGGTCAGATGATGACTCATCCTCATCTTGCGCTGCCCTGCAGAGGCGATCGTGGACATTGCCACGCTCACCGGCGCCTGCATGGTTGCGCTGGGCGACGGCGTGGGCGGGCTGTGGGCCCCCAGCGACGACATGGCGGCGGGCGTGGGCGCAGCGGCCAAGGAGGCGGGTGAGCCTGGGGCCAGCGCCGCGCCGAGCATGCGCTGGCCACACCCGCTCTGTCCTCCAGGCCGCTCCCTGCCCACCACACTGCCTCGCCCTGGCCCCATGCCCCCGGCACCCCCTCCCACCACCCTCCACACACTCCCTCCCCTGGGGGCCCCACACTCTCTTCCCCGCCCGGCGCAGGCGAGAAGCTGTGGCGCATGCCGCTGGAGGAGAGCTACGGCGAGCAGCTGAAGAGCGGGATCGCCGACATGCGCAACACGGGGGCGCGCCTGGGCGGCGCCATCACCGCTGCCCTCTTCCTCAAGGAGTTTGTGGATACGGGCAAGGTGCAGTGGTGCCACCTGGACATCGCGGGGCCGGTGTGGCAGGAGAAGCAGGGCGGCGCCACCGGGTTTGGCGCGCAGACGCTGGCAGAGTGGGCGGCCGCGCAGGGGCGCTAGCCGGGGCGCCCACACCGGCGCGCGAGGAAGCCGCGCCCCACGGCGGCGGGAGGCTGCCCAGGAGCTCCTGCTGTACCACCCACCCATTATTCTTGCCCCTCGGGCCTCGCCCATTTCAAGTCTTCACTCTGTGACACCATTGCTCTGGCACTTGACTGTACGGTTGCATGCGTAAGAAACAATTGACGGTTGGGGAGTTGCGCCCTCAGCTTGCAGAGCTGGGCGCAACGGCGTGCAGCTGTGGGGCGGCTGGGCAAGAGGCCGCGACAGGTGCCGGTGCAGAAACAATGTGCAGTGTGCCGGCAAAATGGGGGAGCGGCGCAGCGCGTGGCACAGGGCAAGAGTGCACGGACTGGCGCCGGCGGAAAGAGGGGGGCCTGAGGGCCGGGAGTGTTTGTAGTGTTAAGATATGCGCTATGTATGTGTATGTGGCAGGCAGGCCGGAAGGGGATCTGTACAAGTATGGTCAGAGTTGGGGGGTGGCAGAGCCAGGAGCAGCAGCGGATTGAATGTGCACACGGGCGGGGCAATGCGCCGTGTCACCAGTGGACGATGAAACAGTGGGCAGATGCGGGAGCAGAGGCGGAGAGGGAGGGAGTGAATGGGCGGCGGGGAGCTGGAGCTGGTGAAAGAGTGGAGGCGGCGAGCCGCACAGGAAGGGTGGGTGGGTGGGGCAGGCCGGGTGGTGGCGTGGCGGCGGCTGGGCGGCAGCAAGGGGCGCCAAGCCAGGCAGGAGTCGAAGCTAGGGGGTTTGTTGAGTTGTGGAGGGGTACGGGGCAGCAGCGAGCGGTGGCAAGTGGCACGGCGCGGTGGCACCAGCAGGCGGGCAGCGCTGCGGGCGCGCCGCCGCGTGGCCCGCTAGTCTGCCAGCCCAGCCAGCTGCACCACGCTCCTCATCAGCGCCACCACCGCCGTGTACTGGCGCTCTGCGGCCATCGTGGACACCAGGCGCGCCTGCTGCTCCTGCTGCGCCCGGATGGCGGCCGCCACCTCGGGCGACGCGGCGCAGCCTGCGGCGGCCAGCACCTGCGTGGGCTGCGTGTGCGCCGCTAGGTACCTGCCCACCAGCTCCTGGCACAGGCCCGCTGCCGCCGCCTGCGGGGTGCAGGCCGCCGTGATGAGCTGGCTGTACAGCTGCATGCTGTCCACGGCGGCGGCGGCGGCGGCGGCGGGCGGGGCGCAGGGGGCGGCCGCGTGCCGGCCGCCGCCACCCAGCAGGTGCATCGCGCCGTGCAGCGGCGCGGCGGCGCGGCCGCCGCCCGCCTGCACCACCGTGGGCTCCTCGGAGGCGGCGGCGGGGGGGCGGTGGCGGTTGGGGGCGGGCTGG